TGTGTGTGTGTGTGTGTGTGTGTGTGTGTGTGTGTGTGTGTGTGTGTGTGTGTGTGTGTGTGTGTGTGTGTGTGTGTGTGTTTCGACCGAGCAATCTCCACGTGGTTGGGTTTGGTATTAGCTTGGGTAATGCTAATGCCGGTATGCCTTGGGTAATGCTAATTGGAAAGATCCCCAGATAAGCTACAAAAATGCAATAAAAATAGGGGATTCCATTTTAAAAATCAATGTAACCTTCTTAACCTGACCATGATCACGCTATCCAAAGTCAAATAGATATTACCAGTAAATGTAACCTTTTATAAACCTTATAACTTCCGTTTAAAGCATTTTCTTTCTAAAACGCAATGTGCAAATGCAATTCTAAGATATTCGACCGTTTCCACACTTTTAAGGCGTCCCAGGGGACGCATATACAGGATATTCCACGTTCTCCTTATCACATTAAGTAGGTATGTAGAACGAGTTGAAGTAAACATAAAAGTCCTATAACGTTTTGCGATATTTACAATAATAACCGAAAAATTAATTACAAAAGATTAAGGAGAAACGCACGCTGAATGGTTGAGGGAGGAGTGTTTGCGATGCAGTAATGTAGCAGGCAGATGTCAGCGCACGTCTTATATCGCTCTAATCCTACCGTCTTGCCGCACCGCGCCGAAGCGAGACGTAGGAGCGCAGCGATATAAGTATAGGCAATAGTGCGTTGTTTTTCCAATCATCGTGTGCTGACATCCGTGCGCTATATTATTAGGCCGCGAGCGCTCCACCCTTAACCATTCAACATGCAGTTTTCCTTAATCTTTTACAATTCATTTCTCAGTTATTATTGCGAATATCGCAAAACGGTAAAATGGGACTTTTATGTTCATCGCAACCCATTCTACATTGTGATAAAAAGAGTTTGGGACACCCTATACACAAACACACGCACGCACGCACGCACGCACGCACGCACGCACGCACGCACGCACGCACGCACGCAAAAGTGTCATAAATCCGAGCGAGCAATCTTCGCGGGGTGCATTTTGGGTAATGCTAATATCGGTGGTACTGTCACCTTCAAGTTTCATTACTCAAAAAATACTTAATGAAAAAATATATTATTGCAGTGTTTTTGAAAACTCTCGAGATAAGTTATAAAAATATGTAATAAAAAGTAGGTGGTTTCATTAAAAAAAATCGACGTAATCTTGTCCTGACTTTGGCAACGCTGTTCAAAGTCTTACTAATATTACTAATATTACTAATAAGTCTTACTAATATAATGTGACACTACAAACGCTATAACTTTTGTATAGAACATTCCTTAGGAAATGCATATTTTTCAAAATATTGAAGGGTTTCCACACTTTTATCTCATTATATATATATATATATATATATATATATATATATATATATATATATA